ACTGCTAAATTAGGGACGGCTAGCGCAGAAAGCCCTCATGTAGCTTTGCGCGAAATTCAAAAACAAAACAAACCGTAACGTTAAATGTGAAAGATAAGCTTCTGATTTACCAACATTTGTTTTTCTGTCTTTCATGACTAATTTTGAGATCAATAAGCCTTTTTCCATCCGTTTATGATTGTGAAAATTTTAATGTGCTTTTCTTCAACTGGTTGCATATGTACAAACACATTACTCAGGCATACGCTGGGAAATATGATGAGGCAGTATTCTAGCGTGCCACCACTTAACGTTTAAAATCCCATCTTCTGCCACTGGAGTGAACAGGTGTTTTCTTCTTTACTTCTTCATGCAAAATTTCGAATGTTGTCGCCATTGTTTGAGCTGAAACAAGAAAGAAATCGTTAAGATAAAAAAAAAAAAAGGAGATAAATGAATGCAATACTAAGACAATTTTTAAGGTTATCATGAAATACAAATGATGTATTTAAGCTGCTTTTATTGATTTATCTAGCGTATAGCCGGTCAAAAATGACAGGGCAAGTACTACCACCCCCACCCCACAGTATAACTTAACCTCACATTTCATGACTAACCGAAATAAATACATTTTGCGAAATAAAGTTTGACCAATAAAGAGGCAGAAAAGTGTAGTCAAACGTCAGTAAATTCCTTGGTGAGCCAATCAAAATTAAGATCATTCATGAAATGACTTCGTGGCGTATAATTATTGGTAAAAATCAGTTAGATTAACAACTTTTGGTAACAAGTTTCCAGTTTTGTTGTCTATACATTTCATTTTATACTTTTATCACATAGACTAACAACAATATTAGGTTATACTTTTGTTGCTAAGCAGCATGACATTAAAGTCATTGTTGGAACGTAAATATTTAATTTCTGTAGAGCATATTGGTGTATAAAATACATATTAATATTAGAAATAAACGACCTTTTCTGAAGTTTTGTACTGTCGGTTTCGGTATGTGTTTTAGTGAACGTTCCCGAAGAAGCTGTAAAGCGAAACGTTGAGTATCTAATTATGGTTTCCACATTATTTCAGCTCTTACATAGTTGACATAATTTTATGTTATTCAGATTCTCAGTCAGGATTGTTGACTTCATGTCCATGTAACGTACATGTGTTTTAACTTTTTTATTCTTTATCGGCATAGAATGGCTCTGATTTTGTTTTCTTTATTTCAAGTACAAACTTCTCTTCACCGATTTGAGATTTAATTACAATTTTGGATTGAGGAGGTCAAACACTTTTGATTGATGTATTTGAGCATGCCAAAGTTCTCATGGATTAATTTACTCTAATCCTACTTAACATAATTTCAAGAGCCACGGCTATTGAGGATTCCCTCTTGTTTTTAATTTCTATAACCGTCTTCAGGTCGAAAGCAGGAAATACAATAGCTGTTTCTACTTTTAGTAGCTAAGCCTGAAGAGAAGCGATTGTCCGAAACGTCGAAAAAAATAAAATAAAACGGCTTAGACATTGGTTTTATGTTTTTTTCTGTTATTTTTATATGTATGTGAATATTATTAAACGAGTGTGTGCATTCAACTCATCTATATCTTACCTATTTACACCAAAATAAAAACTTTTTGAATATTTTAATCCCCTCTGATTATGTCAGAGTAAAAGAGTATTTTAACTAATGTCATCTTATTAATAAAACATTGGATCCCTGTTCTTCTTACTCACATCAGAAATAAAACATTAGATCCCTGCTCTTCTTACTCACATACAAATAAAACATTAGATCCCTGTTCTTTTTACACACATAGAAATAAAACATTAGATCCCTGCTCTTCTTACGCACATAGAAATAAAAAATTAGATCCCTGCTCTTCTTACTCACATACAAATAATACATTAGATCCCTGTTCTTTTTACACACATAGAAATAAAACATTAGATCCCTGCTCTTCTTACTCACATAGAAATAAAACATTAGATCCCTGCTCTTCTTACTCACATAGAAATAAAACATTAGATCCCTGCTCTTCTTACTCACATCAGAAATAAAACATTAGATCCCTGCTCTTCTTACTTACATCAAAAAATAAAACATTAGATCCCCTTTCTTCTTACTCGCATCAGAAATAAAACATTAGATCCCCGTTCTTCTTACTCACATCAGAAATAAAACATTAGATCCCCGTTCTTCTTACTCACATCAGAAATAAAACATTACATCCCTGTTCTTCTTACTCACATCAGAAATAAAACATTAGATCCCCGTACTTCTTAATTACATCACAAATAAAACATTAGATCCCCGTTCTTCTTAATTACATCAGAAATAAAACATTAGCTCCCCGTTCTTCTTACTCACATCAGAAATAAAACATTAGATCCCCGTTCTTCTTACTCACATCAGAAATAAAACATTACATCCCTGTTCTTCTTACTCACATCAGAAATAAAACATTAGATCCCTGTTCTTCTTACTCACATCAGAAATAAAACATTAGATCCCTGTTCTTCTTACTTACATCAGAAATAAAACATTAGATCCCTGCTCTTCTTACTTACATCAGAAATAAAACATTAGATCCCCTTTCTTCTTACTCGCATCAGAAATAAAACATTAGATCCCTGTTCCTCTTACTCGCATCAGAAATGAAACATTAGATCCCCGTTCTTTTTACTCGCATCAGAAATAAAACATTAGATCCCCGTTCTTCTTACTTACATCAGAAATAAAACATTAGATCCTTGTTCTTCTTACTCACATGGAAATAAAAAATTAGATCCCTGCTCTTCTTAAACACATAGAAATAAAACATTAGATCCCTGCTCTTCTTACGCACATAGAAATAAAACATTAGATCCCTGCTCTTCTTACTTACATCAGAAATAAAACATTAGATCCCTGTTCTTCTTACTCACATCAGAAATAAAACATTAAATCCCTGTTCCTCTTAAACGCATCAGAAATGAAACATTAGATCCCCGTTCTTTTTACTCGCATCAGAAATAAAACATTAGATCCCCGTTCGTCTTAATTACATCAGAAATAAAACATTAGGTCTCTGTTCTTCTTACTCACATCAGAAATAAAACATTAGATCCCTGTTCCTCTTACTCACATCAGAAATAAAACATTAGATCCCTGTTCCTCTTACTCACATCAGAAATAAAACATTAGATCCCCGTTTCTTACTCACATTAGAAATAAAACATTAGATCCCCGTATCTTCTTAATTACATCAGAAATAAAACATTAGATCCCCGTTCTTCTTACTCACAGCAGAAATAAAACATTACATCCCTGTTCCTCTTACTCGCATCAGAAATAAAACATAAGATCCCTGTTCTTCTTAATTACATCAGAAATAAAACATTAGATCCCCGTTCTTCCTACTCGCATCAGAAATAAAACATTAGATCCCCGTTCTTCTTACTCACATCAGAAATAAAACATTAGATCCCCGTTCTTCTTAATTACATCAGAAATAAAACATTAGCTCCCTGTTCTTCTTACTCACATCAGAAATAAAACATTAGATCCCTGTTCCTCTTACTCACATCAGAAATAAAACATTAGATCCCTGTTCTTCTTATTCACATAAGAAACAAAATATTAGATCCCTGTTCCTCTTACTCGCATCAGAAATAAAACATTAGATCTCCGTTCTTCTTAATTACATCAGAAATAAAACATTAGGTCCCTGTTCCTCTTACTCACATCAGAAATAAAACATTAGATCCCTGTTCCTCTTACTCACATCAGAAATAAAACATTAGATCCCTGTTCTTCTTTTTCATATTAGAAACAAAATATT